AAACAGTTGTAGTTAAATAAACCAATGAAGCACAACCGAGCAACAGAATTCGGATAAGCTCGGAAGTAACAGCTTGAAAGAATAAATGCTGCGGTTGTTTTCAGCGACAGGCTTCAGCCCCTGTTTAAACTCATCTTTCTCCAACAGTGGAGTTAGGGTGCTTTCACACCTAGACTTTTGTTCGGGAACCTGTCTCGTTTGCCCAATTAGTGCGGTTCGTGTGGCATATGTGAATCCAGCAATCACGCCCGGATCTGCGCCAAAGCAATCAGTCCGAGATCGCCTGAATGAGGTTGTCTCGGCTCGATTGAAACAAACTGGAGCGGATCAATTGTAGTGAGAAAGCGATACGATCCGAGCCCGGCGATATCACAGTGTATTATAGATGTGTAATAGGCATCCGGCTATATGAAGAGAGAATAATGAGCAGGGCGGAAAGTCATTCCAGATATCCCAAGTCACCCGCAAATGCACAGAGACTCCCCGATGCCCGCAAACGAGTTGATAATCTCCCGGAAATCGCACGTGTACCTCCCGGTCCTCAAATACATCGCGCACCCTTCTCACCCCTCCCCACCGCATCCCTCCTCGCTCTTCAGACACATTGCGCGCACCCTGTCAAACACCACCAAACCTCCCAGTCTTCACATCGCTTATATTGTCTTACTGCTCATCGTCATAACTTAAGTAAGGGGCGCATGACAGCTGAGCGGGACTCTGCAAAATAAACCCTGACACTCTGACCAATGTGAGCAGAGTTTACTTACACGTGTCTTGTTTTGGCTGTTTTGGTCCGTTTAGAAAGTTTGCCGCGTGAAAGCGAACCAAGAACAAAGAGCAACAATGTAACAATTTTAATCCCTGTTTCGGAACAACTGAATCGATCCACCGGTGTGAAAACACCCTTAGAGAGCAAAACAACAACAACTCTCGCGTCTTATGATACAAAAGTCACATGATTTCACTGTTTTACAACTGAGCATCGGGAAGAAACAAATGCAGACTGCCTAAAGAGGGCTGGATTTAACGCGTCCATCCTTTTGTGTCAACTAATGTTTTTTTCATAATCATTGGAGGCCGAAATTGAATTTTGATTACCTGCACAGTCCTGCTGGAAAGACATTGCGCAAATTTAGATTTCTTTTTTAAAATATTATACGCCGCAATTGTACCTACAAGTCCTGTGACTGAAAGCGGGATGGATGTTATTTCAGAGAGATGTTCATCTCTGCTCAGACGAAACCAGCAGTGAGAGAAAGTGAGTTTAGAGAGACTGTTATGACAGAAAGACCTGAGTGACAAATAAAAGAGAGAACCGAGAGTCTGTTTGATCCTACAGCCAAAAACTAGAGTATGTCATTCATAGAAAGCGACAGAAAACGCAACGTTATAAACTTACATCAAAGAAGCACAGACTGCGCGCGCGTGTGTGTGTGTGTGTGTGTGTGTGTGTGTGTGTGTGTGTGTGTGTGTGTGTGTGTGTGTGTGTGTGTGTGTGTGTGTGTGTGTGTGTGTATCAACTAAATGTGCTGGAGTCCTTTGAAGATTACACACTGACTACTGAAGTCTCTTTCTTTCACTCGTGCTCAGAAAAAAACATGGTACAACGTGTTTATTATTGAACCTTGAAGCTCACCGAGGCTTTCCAGAACACCCAAAATCAAAAGAATAAGAAAAAAACATATGAGCATTTCATCAAGCTACTATTGAGCGTTAAATGATAAAGATATGTATGTAATATGTATATATATATACAGCTGAATACAAAATGATTAGCCCTAATGTGAAGTTTTCATTCTCTTTCAAATAGTTCCCAAGTTTTTTGTTTAAAGGAGATTTTTTCTACATATTTTTAAACAATACTTTTTAGAATTCATTTTATTTGCCACAAAGACAGCACATATTTTACTCGTCATTTTGCAAGTTATAAGTGTTTAGATATATATATGCACAGGGCTCGAAATTGCGACCATTTTGGTCGCATATGCGCCTGAAATTTTATCTATGCGACCTTAAAATATATTTGGGAGCATGTTTGCGAGTGTATAAAATTGTGACCAGTTTTTACTGCAAAATGTTCACCACATGCGTGGATTCAGGAGACATTCACGCAGAAAGCATCTCTGCACTTGAAATGCGAAACGCAGCGTTCAGGAATGGTTTAAAACAGTTGTCATGTCAACTTGCTGCAGTAAACAAAGCCAAGTCTGAAATGCTTGCCCCGCCTTCGCGCTCTTCTTATTGGCCCACTGCTCTAGCACTAAAATATCAGCTGTCAATCACTCAGTCAATGCCTTCTGGCTTGGGATGACAGAGAGAGAGCTGCTACTGCGAAAAACTGTAAAGCGCTGAAGATGAGAATAAAGAAAACACTGACAGATTTAGTTTTAGAAACCATGGCATCTAAAGTTACAAATAATGACACATCTTACTAGTGATCATGTGCTGAATGGTAATCCACCATCTACACTTTTTCAAGAGCGGATAAAAGACTTCCGTTGGCTTCAAGTCCGCTATGAAAAGTCTGTGGGATGGAATTTTCAGGTAACTTTTTGCCACATTTAACACGAGAGCTTCTGTTTAATCCTTCATATAATCGCCAGATGCTGTCCGCCGTGCAAGTGGCAGATATAAGTCAAATTTAACACCACGTACACCATCGCAAACGGCTTAAACTGAGTAAACTAATATCGCTACTCATGAAAAGTATTGTGATGAACATGACATATGCATATAATAAGGTGCAGTATATGTCAAAAACACCAGTGCAATATCAGACAGCACCCGTGAGAACAGCACAGTTATATCGTTATATAGTTATAGTGCGTGCAGGGCCGGTGAGTGCTCCGTGTTTCTTTTGGTCACTCAGTTATGTTAAAAAAATCAATTTTCTTGTGATAACGGGATTTCGTTGAGACACATTTTCCTCACGCTTGCATATATATAAATTTTTGCTTGTTAGTTTGGTTAGCGTTGATTTCAAATGCAATAAATATGTTTGTATAAAACTTGTAGTAACGGTGCTTATAAGTGCGACTTAATTTTGGCTGATGTGCTTACATTTTTAAAGATAGGAGAACCGGTGCTACCAAGCAGAAAGGTTAATTTCGAGCCCTAAATCATCACAAACTGCTTGAGAAACTCTTCTACTCTGATAGTTGGTGATGAAAATAAATGATGTTCAGTAAGATGTACTTGTGTTTATTCACTGTTTATTATTGGGATTTCAGGATTTCTCCTTCATTGGATGCTTTTAAATCTAACTTAAAGCCTTATTTTTACTCTCTTGCCCTTGAGTGACGCTTGCATGTTATTTATTATTATTATTATTACATTTTTTTTCTTGTATTTTAGTATTTCTTTTAAACATACATTTCCTTGTATTTAATACCAGTTTTTTGGTTTTATTGTCTAGTTTATTTTATTGTAAAGCACTTTGGATCAACTACAGTTGTGTAAAATTGTGCTCTATAAATAAAATAAAGTTTGCCTTGCCTATTCATCATGAATTGTGAACTGTAGGCCTACATAAGGGTTAAGTATGTTAGCCACGCCCACTACCTCAGACAGGCCTAATCTGAGAATTTAACTGAACACGAACTCGAACACGAAGTGGATTTAATTCTAGATTACAAAGGCAAACTATTGTTTTTTGCTAACAACACGCACAGATGAATTGTTCACCACAAAACAAGCAATGTGAGCTAACAAAATCAATATGGTCAGTTTTGATTTCACGTGTTCTTTAATAGTGAGAATTCCTGGTTAAACTGAAGTGTTCCCTTGTTGTTTGTGTCTCTCCCTTTCTCTGCAGTCTGTTCGCAGTATTCACGAGGAGTGTTTGCGATATTCGGCCTGTATGACAAGCGTTCGGTTCACACTCTGACGTCGTTCTGCAGTGCCCTGCACATCTCTCTGGTGACGCCCAGTTTCCCCGCCGAGGGCGAGACCCAGTTCGTCCTGCAGCTGCGTCCGTCCATCCGCGGAGCCCTGCTGAGCCTGCTGGACCACTATGACTGGAGCCGCTTCGTGTTCCTGTACGACACCGACAGAGGTAAAGACACACACATGCATACACCTTTATCAGCTGTACTGAAGAGGAGTTATGGGTGTTCACAACAAGTTTTAAAGGGCAACTACTATGCAAATATTACAGTTGTGTAGCAACAGTGTGTGATTATAGCCAGCTTTTAATGGTTAAAATTTATTGTATTGTAATTTTTAATCACACTTGATAAAACAGTCTGCAGAAACACTTAGACATTCTCCCTTTGCACGCGTCATCAGAGGGGGAAAGTCTCACCCATTAGTGACCATCTCTAGCTCTTTAGCATAGACAGCCCTGAGTGAGAAGCAGCCATCTGCTGTTAGAGTTTTCATACCAGACCTGTTGAAGATGATGTCAATTAAGAGGCATTATAAAGGATGCACATAAGATGTCATAATTAGGCCCACATGGAATCTGCGCGCGCAGAATTCCACAGATTTTCCGCAGATTTTCCGCAGATTTCTGCAGATTTTTAGCACATCATTAATTCTGTTTATTTACTTGAGTTAATGTGTAAATCTGAATTTAATCAGTTTTTATTCAGCAATTTATTACTTTTATTTCATACTGTATATTAAGGTTTTAGTTATGATACTCCGCTGGATACTCCCGAAATAGTTCCGCAGAAATCCTCAGATTTTTACCAAAATTCTCAGCAGAAATAGCAAAAAACGTCCGCAGATTCCGTCTGGCCCTGATCATGATCAACGTAAGATGCACAAATAAACACTGGAGTCTACATAGACTGCCTTTTTCTGAGACACTTCTGCACACATTTGGTTTTCACAGACAACATTGGCCTTGTTTTGAATCTGCTGCTATGTTGGCCATACCTTTCAACCTTCTCATTTTTCGAAGGATTCTCCCGTATCTTACAATTCTATCCCGCTATCATCTTGTAAAATTATTTTCCTTTATTTTTAATCTTTCTATGAAGTGTGGCAATAAACATCAATGGCCTTATTTTAATGATCTAGGCCAAACTACGGCCTGCATATGCGGCCCGCTAAACACTTTCATCAGAGGTCATTTTAAAATGCTGCTTCTGAGTAACGGTTTGGTTTCAGAATTAGTAAATTAGTGATGCAATTACAAGTGAACGCCATGTGATGGCAGTACTGCACGCAGTACAGTTAGCGCAACCAGTAGAATTAGAACACACTCTCGGATATTAAGATGCACTCGACCATTAATGACTGAAAATGAGTCAGGCCAAAAAAGAAAGGAAAAGTTGACTCTGAATGTCATGTGTTTAAGGAAGAATGAACAACAAAATACTTCTTTACCAATATTTTTACAGATAGCGGTAGGTCTAATATGCAAAGAAAGTATTGCTGTTTTTAAAGACTACAAAATAAAGGCTGATTTATACTTCTGCGTCAAACGCTGGCGTATGCTACGGCGCTGACGCATAGCCCTTCGCCGTGGCCATCGGCGTCACTGACGTGCACCTCTCAAAAAATGTAACTACACGTCGCAACGACACGTAGCGCAAGCTCTGTGATTGGTCGGCTTGGTAGCACTGACAAGTCTGGGCGGGACCAAGAGCCGCGCGAGTGACGCTAGCCGATTGGAGCGATTGTTTACAAATGTGGAGTTCCGTGAAGGAGCTCCGGATGGAAAGTTTTGTTTTGTGTTTACCTCATATTTAAAGTTGTTGCACGTCCGCCGGTTCCTGCCTCAAAATGAGCGACTTTGAGCCACTTGTACATCCAGGAAGTGTTCAGGAAAAGCAAAACAGCAGCGAGGAAACTCGACACAAAGGAACATTTACACCTCACTGACAACTAGCATTTCGGAAGTGTTAATGCAGACCAACAGAAACAGCGCGCAGAAATATAAATGCACAGCTACCCACGTTGCATGCGCCGTGGGTTACGCCGGTCACTTGACGCAGAAATATAAACCAGGCTTAAGAGGCCGATCACACCGAATGAATCAACTACTGAATCAGCTGGGTATTTTGCGAGAGTGCTGCTGTTAATATTAATGTACCTTTATTTTCAGGCTCATTGTTCACATTAACACACTCATAATAACATGACTTGGAATAACAAAGATTAAGATTCTTCTTCAGTTTTATCTCATAGTTTTATACTGATCGATATGAGCCTATTAATACAAGCTCAATTGAGATTGTTGTGAATTTGACTCAAATTATATCATAATTGCTGGTTAAATGTGTTCACTTTTGTCATAGAATATATTTTCCGTGCATACATCCACTTTAAAAAGCTATTTCATCAGAGATTTGTGGTTTCATCAAGTTTTATGATGATTAATATGTATATTCTATAGGGGTGTCAAAATTAATTGTTTCTTCGGTGCAACGCGATGCAGACACGGACAATAAGGTATCAGTTCAGTAATAATCATAACCGGTTATTGTGTACTGACGTCATTTATCTCCTATGCGCTCTGTCGCGAGGGAGGTGAGTATTTACAACACTCTGCCAAATCAGGGGCGGTCCGTGGCATAGGCACCCTAGGCAAATGCTAAGGTTGCTGTATATCCAGGGGGGCGCCAGAAATGAGCGCGGTTCAGTTGGTTTTGTTTTCGATTTTCCTGACACACATTCAGTTACAGACGGCAATAACTCAAAAACCTCTTACCCTAAAAAGATCTAAAGTGTGTTTCCTACAAAAAGACAAAGCTGGTTATGTTTCACAGCTGTCTTTCTTTTTTTTCGCTCGACATTACGAGCACTGCTCCGTTTAATATATATATATATATATATATATATATATATATATATATATATATATATATATAGTAAACACTGCAAATAATGGTATAGTATTATAATATATAGTATAATAATATTAATTTAATACAAACAAAAATAAATAAATAAAATAATAAATAAATCAACTCTCTTTCATTACCATTAGGTGAATAAATATAAGTTTATATCTGTGCAGGGTGTATATACAGTATGTATGTGTTGCAGTGTGTGTGCGTGTATGTATATTTTAAATGTAATGATTTTTTTAAAAACATTATTAAGAACAATTACATTAACATTTTAAATAACAGGTGGTATCGATATCGGTATCGTAAAAATGTTCACAAAAAGTATCGGTATCGGATTGAATTATAAAATTGTGGTATCGCCCATCGCTAATAGCTACTCTTTACTATTTTAATGTTGAATATGCAGGAGGGAATCTGATAATGACAAATGTCTGATTTTACCGGTAAAAAAATGGTCTAATGATGTTGTCAATGACAGATCGTAAGCAAACATAATAACATCAACATCAGAATTATGAATAGTTTTATTCTGACTTCATCACTTTACTGTGCATTAATGACCAGGACACATTTAAAGTCTGTTCAAGTCCACCATTCCAAGTCCAAGCATTTAAACCAACAGTAGACCTACACATAGCCTATTGCTGTTTCACCAATTGTTTGAGAAATAACAATAATAATAACAGGCTACTCATATTAACCCTTATGACATCAACAGAATCGTGATCTTAATTTTAAGCAAAAAAAAAATAATAATAATAATAATAATTTCGAGATTCTTATTTTAACCAGAATCGTGCAGCTCTAGTACGTGTGTGTCAGCGTCCTCATCTTCCTCCAGTTCTCCAGTGGTCTCTCTCTCTCGTCTCTGTGTGGTGTGGAGCCCGTGTTCACCCAGTGAGCGTCTGAGATTTTCCTCCTGCTGTCGGTCCGCTGTTCCTGCGCTCACTAGAGCATAAAAACTCTTCCTCCTGGAGCCCAGAGCGACGCGGGCCTCAAGCCAATCACCCAGCCATCCGTGATCTCCTGCTTAAAGGCCAGAAAGAGAAGCTAATGGATCAACTAGCATCCGCTTTCTTCTCTCATCTGCATCTCCTCTCCCTGCTTTAATTCAATCCCAGTTGGCATCGATTCCAAGGACGATGCAGCACGTTTCCCCCCCTCCATCAGTTCTGCTTGTTATTTTTTTTGCCTGCTTTTCTGGCTGGAGTTTGACCTCACACCTCTGCATTGCGTAAAACTGTCTGTCCTGTCCGCTAAAACCTCTCCGATCGCTCGCTCGCACACATGTGAAACGGCTAATCGCAGGGGAATGTCCAGCCTGTCTGGAGATGTTAGCATCAGCGGCAGTCCTGATGGGGCTGTGAGGAAAACATATCCTTTCATTTATTACATCTCAAACTGAAGCTGTGAGGCTGCACACGACGACGCAATAAAACAAGAAGCCGGCAGCTAGCTCTCTGCAACTCTCACATGGTGAGAAGCTAAGCAGGGCTGCGCCCGGTCAGTACCTGGATGGGAGACCACATGGGAAAGCTGGGTTGCTGCCGGAAGTGGTGTTAGTGAGGCCAGCAGGGGGCGCTCAACCTGTGGTCTGTGTGGGTCCTAATGCCCCAGTATAGTGACGGGGACTCTATATCACTCTACTCAGTGAGCGCCGTCTTTCGGATGAGACGTTAAACGAGTTCCCGACTCTCTGTGGTTGTTAAAAATCCCAGGATGTCCTTCGAAAAAGAGTAGGGGTTTAACCCCGGCATCCTGGCCAAATCTGCCCACTGGCCTCTGTCCATCATGGCCTCCTAACCCTCCCCATATCATGATTGGCTTCATCACTCTGTCTTCTCTCCACCAATCAGCTGGTGTGCGGTCTGGAGCAAAATGGCTGCCGTCGCGTCATCCAGGTGGATGCTGCACACTGGTGGTGGTTGAGGAGATTCCCCCCATTGTGTAAAGCGATTTGAGTGCCCAGAAAAGCGCAATATAAATGTAAGGAATTATTAATTATTATTAGAAAGTTGGTTCAACAGACGAATAAATGTTAATATATACACATCAATAGAATAGTGCACTCCTTGGCTAAATTTTCCATCAGTCAAACTAGAAAGTACACTACCTGACAATGGTCTTCGTTTTAGGTACAAAAAATAATAACTTGACTTCTAGTTGATCATTTGGTATCAGAAGCAGTGTTTCCCCTTCCATAATATTAGGGGAGCTCCCCGCCCTCTTAACGGCATTTCCTGCCCTCCTT